GCCATTTCAATGCTCGACGTACAGCAGTCGGAATAGCTGACCACTCAAGTGAGATTGTTTTATCATCAGGTGATTTTATAGATGCCTGCAAAATCATAATAACTAAGGTTGGTACACAAAATATTGATGGCAAGAACCTGTTGATTTAAAAAATTTTAGTGGGCACAAAAACGTACAGCAAAATAAGTTGAGAACAAAAAAAACTGCCAAAGTAGCTCACAAAAAAGTGTTACCTTGTATCGTACTGGTTTTCCCTCACCGAAAACTGGAGTAGGGATACCTGCTGCTCGCTGATTTGCTTCCACATATTGTCCCAGTAAAAGAGCTATTCCATCGAAAGCCTTAGCTGCTTCAACACACTTTTTAGGATTCAAAGGATCTCTTATCATATCAAGAGGGCAAGCGCAATAAAAACCTCCAGGTATATTAACGCAGCCGTGTGAACAGCCACCGTTTTGTTGTTGGCACTCGTCAATATCTGAAAAGTGGATTTAACTGTAATCCTTTAAAAAATATTTCACTCGCGTGTCAAAAATATTCCTCTACTTGCAACTTCAAAGCATTAACAATAACTAGCAGCCAATCTAATTTGGACATAATAAAACGTTGTAAAGAAAATCAACAGTATCCCTTTCCTACATAACAAACATACCGTAGCAAGATCCCTTATAGAGGTAGTATCCACTAGGACATCTGCCGCCGTGAGAACTTACACGACACGGACACTCCTCTGAGGTCGTTGGAGGTAACGTCGAAATCGGTCTAAATGGATCAATAGCATCACTACAGGTTGGGCGTACTACTGCCTCACCCTTCTCTGAACACAGACATTGGCATTTCGTTGCACGATCTCCTACAGGCTCGTAATCAGGAGGAGCTGTTGTATCTGAAAGTTTCTATGTGGGATAAACGGCAAATTCCTTTTCTAAAAGCCTGAGAATTTCTAAACAATACCTTCAGTCAATTTGACAGTTTCACAGTTACTCAAATCAACTGGACGAGATTTATTCAAAGCTGCTTCTTCAGTCATTACGCATATCAAATACTTTATTTCAGCACTCAAGTTTCCAATACGTTTGCCGAAACTTTCACGACATGTTGCACCGATTCTTTGCCATTCAGACTTAGGAAGCGAATCGTCGGAGGTTACCAAGACATAATAGGACTGAAACCATAATGTAAAGACAATCTGAAGCTTGAAAAACAAATGAGGGTTATGTTAAATATAGCAGTTATATGATCTAATCGCATCATTGTTTTAAACATTATTGCGACATTACTTTTAAAAGATTTTCATAACACAAGGGACTGTAACAAACGAACAATCAAAAACAGTAATCAGTAATTCACTGACCATTTCAAATTTGGCATTCAAAAAGAAAAATAAATGAGGCTTCAACAGTTACAGAGTGTGACAGCTTTAATATTTTAAAGATATACTGCTTGTTTCGAAATGCCATAGTATAGGCTTCAAAGTTACCGTTCTCGTGTTCGTACAGCAAGTCCAACTAACAGAAACGGCAGAAGGTGAGATGGGAATTACTTTAAGGTTGGAAGGTTGGCTTACAGGCTGGCTAATAGAAACCGCAACTGAAATTCAAACTTTTACGTCCTAACAAAAAAAAGTCAAGTTTTCAGAGTACTCTTAAAAAGTACTTTGAAGAAATACCAAACTTCTAAACAGCTTTCAAATGGAAATAAACCACCATCTGTTACTACCACAGCACAAAAAAATCTTTAGAGTTAGTGCGCTTTTGGTGTCACATATTTGTGAAATTAAACAGTAATTTATTTCCTTTACCAGGAGAAGCAGCTGGCGTCGTAGATGCCTGTTCAGTGGTTAGAAATTTTACAGCAGTTACCTCACTGCATATTATATGTGCAAACCAAGCATCGAATATATTTTCAGATACCGACCAGTCAGCAATACGAATTACCCTATAGAAGAAAAAAGAGTTATGGCTGTTAAATTAAGCTGCATAAAAAATAAGAGATTTGAAACAGAGTGACTGTAAAAACAACACCTTTTCGGGTCGTTTCCGGCAAGTTCTGTAAGTAAGTTACTTGCTGGTTCTCTAATTGAGAGGAATATGACGTTCAAACCAAGACTTTGGGCCTTTTCAGTAGCAGGAACAGCATCGTCACTAAATTTTGACAAGCTATCTCCTTCAGGAAATCACACTAGTATTATGAGTAAAGAAGAACCAACCTGCTAGTGCCGTCAGCACTAACGACAAACAGAAATTGTTTGACTCCTTTAAAGGCATTCTTATTCGCTACCGCAATGCCTCTGTTAATACTCAAACCCAGTGGAGCTGACAACTCATCGCCTCTGAAAACAAAAACGAACATGAAAAATGCTACGAAATAAAAGCTACTGCCTTTAGTTAGAAGATATATCTTTTGACTTCAACTGAATACATTTAATTCGACACTGAGTTAAGCGGCAGTTAAAGCAGCTTACTTTTCTTGCTCAACAGTTCCGAGGTTTTGAAACACATCGTTGACATCAAAATTCGATGCCTTTTCAATAGCTCTCGTGCTGTTTACAGTAATTAGATTCATCTGCATGCGAATATTCTCAGGAGGGAATCGCGATTTCATGAATTTGGCAATGTAGAAAAGTGCTTGTTTAAAATCCTAAAAAATTTACTTCATGTGAACTTTAAAAAATAATTTTCAGTCATATTTATAAAATATGCAAACTATTCGTCATTCATAAACTTCAAGTTGCGCTGAATTTTATTGTCTTAACCTTACATTTTCTGGAGACCTGCCCGTAATGTCCACAATAATTGTGAACTGATAAGGACGAAGTTGTTCATCTTTACACAAGGCAGTAAATTTTTCTGGGGTTTCAAATATAGGGCTGATAGAAGCAGCAGCGACTTCTCTGAAAAACTCCACCATTAACAGCGTACTTGCGCTAGACTTCACAAGATCGTTACTAATAGATTAGTTCTGTCAGCTGGTAGTAACTCAAGTTATTAGAAAGCTACTGTTACATTAAATTTTATACTAATTATAAAGAAGTGAGTGTACTGCCAGCAAATTGTTTATGCGTAAAAAGAGAAAAAACCTCCACGAAGCTCATATCTCGTATTAGCATAATACATACGTAAAATCGAGAGGAGAAATTTCTCGTTTGGTGGTTTTATAACTCGAAGGTTGCTCCGTATAAGACTCCACGTCTGCACCGCCAATATAACCACATAGGGCATTCCCCATCCTTTCGACTCCTTCGTCAAGTAACGCCTGAGCGCTCTTGAATGAAAGTAATCGTTCCGAAGAATGTTCATCGTCTAATAATCGCCTCAAACTTGCTAGACCCAATTCAGACGCATCAATCGCAACGAAAAAAATATCAACTTTGTACTTTTCTCTTAAGTCTTGAACAGCAAAAGCTGCATTGCCCCTAAAACCACAGAAGAATAAGCGAATAATAAAAAAAAGCACAAAAATAGGTTTTGATTTGGATCAGAGAAGATAGAACAGACCGGTTATTTCCTTTTGTGATTAAAAGAACAGCTCGAGATACGTCTTCCCGTCCATGCGCTCTAAATTGCTCTTTTACAGCATCCAAGCCTCGAAGTAAAACCGGAGTTCCTCTCATGCGCTTTCTTTTATCAATTTCCTTGAACAACTGTTCTTTGTCTTCATAATGTCCAAGAGCAATCGGTATGTATGTTTCCGAACTGTAAAACTTCTCAGCTTATTTAGATATCAGTCCAAGAAGAATGTAGCTCAAAAGATACCTGTACTCAATAAAGCCAACTTGAACCACATCAGGAGAAAGATCCAGATTTTTTTCAATTAATTCATTTAGGGCATCTTTAATTTTATAATATTCCTCATCTGTTACGTTGTCTGAAGATTCGAGGACGAAGATGATATCGAGCTAAAAAAAGATTTTACTTCAAGAATTTAAATCTGAAAGACAGACGAAGGTAGAGAGTTTTGGAAGTTGTAATAGATCCAAGTTCATAGACCTTATAAAAACCCGGACTGGTCTACTAAAAGTAACCTTGTATTCAATTCTATCACAAATCCGAACTGCCGTCGTCCGATCTCCAGGTTGAGTCGTCTCTCTTGGAGACCAAGTTTCTTCCGTTGCATCACCAATAATCTGTTTAACATGCTAAAATTGAGAAGATTTTTGACTCTTCATCTAAAAATTTATAACGTCTCACAAAACATAAACAAATTAAACATTTAAAAGCAAAAAAGACAAAAAACTTTTCCAAAAGGTATTTCCAGTTTGAATGTAAGCTCCAACTTATAATACTGAATCTTCTCCCTCAGAAGGAAAAGGGAATTACTTTTACTAATATACAAAATTCTCGGACAGTAAGGCAAAAATAGAACAGTTCACGCCAAAATTAATTTGTATTCCAGCAGCTACAAAATATAACTCGTACTTTGCATACGACATTCGCAATCGGTCCAATCAGCATAGGACTACTGTCAGCCCAATGAGATAATTTTGTTATCCTATCTGGATGACCCTTTCCGACGACTGCTAAATCTTGTTCAGAATCGCCGTCCTTTCCTCCATTTACCAAAAATATAAGAGGTGTTACCTCGTTACGTAGCTTCTCAGCCTCTACGGCAACGTCGCCACTAAAATAGAAGTCGAAGCAGCTTTTTATTCACGAACTTAATCAGCGGTTGCTCTGACGTACAAGTAAAAGCAATGTCCAAATGAAATTAATATGGAAACCTATAGAAAAATCACGCCATTGAAAAAACATCTTTAAAATTTTGTAACAATATCAAGAGTGAAACGATACCTAAATGGTCCGTTCGAGAAAATGATGATAGCTTTTTCCTGTTCCGGCGTGCTAGATACAGAAAATTCACTATACGCTTCTTCAAGAGCTGCCGCAAGACGAGGTTTGCCTCGTACACGTTTAGTTTCACTCAATCTTTTTAAAAGCTCTTCAGGAGAATCGTAATCTCCTAGAGTTACAGGTACCTCTACCTTAATGAAAAAAACGGCTGCTATCAATAAATAACCATGTATTAATCTTAATAAAACATTCTAGTAAGTGGTACTGGTTTCAAAAATCTAATACTCACTTTTTTACCGTATTTAATAACACCGACTCGGACACGATGTCGCTGGAGATTAAAGTGCATTAACAAAAACTTCTGTATAAATTCCTTCATGATTCGATAATCGATAATTTTAACGCTGCTGGAGGCATCAATGAGCAAAAGCAAATCCATGTTCGCATTCACTCTACAGTACGGAGATTCCTCTATTGGGGTGGTGCTAAATTAGATCAATTCATAAAGTACCGCAAACTTAAAAACTAAAAAGTTCAGTATGATACTTTACAACCAAAGAAGGGTGTAAGGCGTATGCAATCCTGTCAAAAACAGTATCTAAACTTTGTCAAATTTTGGTTTTACTACATTAAATTAAGTAAAAAAGTAATTATAGGCAATTTTTTCAACTAAACTTATTTTGTTGAGAGGACTCAAGACGGATATGAAAATAAAATTTTTGTTTTCAGAGGTAGCCTTAAATGCTTTGGGTAACACTAATGGAGCTATTGGGTTCCTGAAAGCTCAATTGAAAATGTTTCTGCCACTGTCTTTTGAATTTGTTAGCCAACTTCGGAAATCATTTTTGTACAAGTTTTGCAACATTCCAGTTTATAGCTACCACACTGTTCTCACTACTATTCCATGCAACGAAGAATCATAAGATTTAATTTATGGTTATAACAGCAAGCTCTCTCTAACTGCAAGAAAAAAAAATTGAAGATTTTTTATTCAGAATTAGAAGTTCAGTTCGTTGTCTACTGCAAAACTGCAGCTCTTAGGCACCAAAACTGAATATTTCATAAACAAGCGAAGACAATGTAAGTAATAGTACAAATTTTCAGGAGCAATAATGACTGCAAAGAAAATAAGCAAAAAAGTAATTCTTTCACCTCAACCATTCCTTAGACGCATCCGTAACAGGTGGGTGTTGGGAATATATCTCTGGTACAGATTTTGTTGATTCTGTAGTGACGCCATCCGTTGGAAGATCAACAAGTAATTTTGGTGTACGCTTTGTTGAGATTTCTGCAACTTCGAGTGTAGGTGTCGGGCCAATATCAGTGGCTATTCGTTCTTCTGAAATAGTGCAGTATTTAGGAGGAAATGAAAATTTTTATGACTGCAATCTGTTGTTGAAACGCGCAGAATTCAAGCTATAAGACATCTCCTAGAAAAAAATTAGTATAATTACGTTCATCGTCGAACTGTGTTCGAATTGTTCAAAGACGAGACCAGCAAAACGTTATTGCGTTAAGACTGTACAAAATTCCATTCCTTGTTTCATTCCATTTGATACAAACATAGAAGCTACTTTCACATTAAAAAAATGGCCTATATTTTTTAAAGTTTAGGCAGTAAAGGTACGACAACAATGCTCTTCCTTTGATTAGGACACCACTACAGAGCAAGATTTAGCTTTAAAAAACGAAATATTAGGGAAGATAAGCCAAAAAGCATCTAAAAATAATGTTGACAGCAACTAATGCTTTTCCAATGAGTTGGAAAATTAGAAAAAAACGAGACTGACAACAGATTCGATACAACATACAAAAACTTTTTTTAGTCTATTAAAATTAAAAACATTGAATTCCTCAATGTTTGCTAATTACTGCCGTTAATGAAAAGACCTAGTCAGATGCAAAAAATTCCCCAACAACACTTCATCCGGGGATTTTCACGACTATAATTAGGCCCTTATTTCAAATTGTTTACATAAACCTCTCCGGCACCACAAACATAGTATCCTCCTTTTCAAGCTAATATTGCACGCTTGCCTCAAGAAAGAAGTTTGCATTATGCTCTTCGGAAATCCTACAACGCGCAGCTTACTGACTTCACTTGATACATCAGCTTCGTTTAACTAATCCTCTGCATGCAGCGGCATGAATATTCATGACCTTTTCTAGCGTTGCCTGCTTTAAAGCTGACTTCGTTTCTGTGACAATTTTACAGCCCTTATCATTCTTGTTACCACTGGTGTCCAAACACTTCCAGTTCAGTTAGTTTGGAGTCTCAACCACGTTAGACCTTTCAAAACAACACAATCTGCGCTAGCCTTCTTATGAACATAAAAAGGATTTATACGAAGGGTAAAAAACCCTTAGTTCGCTTATACAGGCGTTACCTTTGTAACACTAAAAAAGAAATGGGTTTATTTGTTATACATCTACTCCAGTATAACAAATGGGGACTTAAAGTCTTCTAAAACAATCATATCCCTTTCTCCTCTCCTCATTTCAATCTTTCACTCTCCATTTATTCCACCTTCTGCGCACTGATGGTCTCCAAAATTTTGTAAATAAACAATTTTTTCACTTTCCCAGCAGGCAAGTCAAGTGTGTAATTAAAAATCTTTGACAGTCATAGATTACAAAACTACTTTTGCTGCTGCAAGAAAGAAGTGGAGACCTTTCTAAATCACTCACTTTAAAACATAAACTTTACTTTAGACCACAGACATACCTTCAAACGATATACTCACAGAACCAAACAAATACATATAAAATTCATATAGAAATACACTCACATTTCACAAACAATTACCTTCTATCACAACCATAATTGTGGAATGACCAATCTAGCAGGAACAGTAAAGACACAAACTCACCACCCATAACCTTTACAAACACAACCAGACGAAAGGCTGACAAAGCAAGCCGCAAGTTTAATGCGCTCTGTCAAACGTAAAAGTTAAAACGCTTACTCAGAGCAACGAAAAGTTCACCAGCAGAAAAGAAGTCCCCAAAAAATTTTCTACAGCATAAACATCGCTCAGCTACACCCACCTAAACAACAAAGTACGGAAGAAAGACAGAAATATACAGCAACAGTCATCCAAGAAATTCAACTGCAGAATCATTTATAACCTCTTTGTCGATCAAAAAAAAAAAAAAAAATTAAGAAAAAAAATAACTCACTTTCTGATAACCATTCTCCTCTAGTCTTCTCAACCTGAACGGCACCACTCGGAGTAACCATTGTTACATAAACAGTAGAAGATTCACCATAAACTCCAAAACTGCCAACAAGCGACTTGTCGGTAAAGACTTCCAACGGTCCATCTGTGGGCTTCTTTTCCGCAACAAATCCCGGCGAAATCTTAACTTTACCATCTTCTTCAGGTTGCACGACGTTTCCGTCAACAAACACCGTCCCATCTTCAGAGATGTACACTGTATGACCACTTGGAAGTTCTACCGTTTCGTTAACTTTCAATTCTATACGTTGCTTGTCGGGCAGAATGATCTCAATGGACCGGATTAACTCGGGCGCGGCTGTGATGATGTCCGAGGACAGTCCAACAGAAGTGGGTAAAGTTAATTCCGGCGGTACTGTAGCTACCCCTAGCGCAATGACTTCGGTCGACTTTTGGGGCCACACATACTTTCCGTCTCTGTCTTTCCTTAATACATTCTTATCTGGGCCAATCGGTTCATTTTCCTCGTTCACCTCAACAAGCGTACTTCCATCTGCGTGAATCAAGACTCCGTCATCTGTGATGTTCAACGGCACTCCATCTTCATATATTACTGGAATCGACTCTAGGGAACTAGCCCTTGTCGTTTCAAACGAAGGAAGTATAATGGAAGTAGTGGCCTGTACGGTACGCATGGGATACACAAAAGCCCCATTCTTGTTCTTTTTCAGTCTTTCACCATCTGGGCCGAGAGGTTCACTAGCGTCATTATACCTCACTGGTTTCCCGTCAGGCCCGAGAACTTCTCCCTCCTGATTTGTTTGCAAAGGATTTCCATCAATGTCAACAATGGTTGCTGATTTGGGTGTAGTCACTTGGGCCGGCGTAGCTCCTGATACCCCTGGCACCTCCTCTGCCGGGAATCCAGAGGCTAGCTCAGGCAACTGGGCAAGCGTCTTATCCGTCGCGACCTCGACCGGCTCTGACGTCGACGCCTCCTCACTAATCCATTCCTTCGGAATGCTGACCTTACCGTCTTCTCTTGGCTGGATGACCTTTCCGTCAAAGGACACGGTACCATCCTCGGAGACCCTTAGAACGTGCCCGCCAGGAAGCTCCATGGATTCATTAGGCCTGAGTCCTAGCTTCCCATGGTCAGGTACGATCACTTCGATGTACGGTCCAACCGTTCCAGGCGGTCCCAAAGTTGTTTCCGACAGAAATCTCCCAGGAGTCTCGGAAGCGATTTCGAAAGGCACGGTTGAAGGTACGTGCGGTTCCACTGTTCTTACACCGAGTGCTAGCACGTCTGTAGATTTTTGAGGCCAGACGTAGTTACCATCTATGTCTTTCTCCAGAACGTTCCTGTCCGGGCCAAGCGGCTCATTTTCCGCGTTCAGTTCTACAGGTGTTTTTCCATCCGAGTGAATTGGGGATCCGTCGCTTCCAGTTGCTAGTGGTACGCCGTCTTCATATATCACTGACGCGATTACTCGCGGGCCTGGCGTTGTAGCTTCCGTGAGAGGAGCTCCGCGAGAGGTTGTTTGCTCTTGCGGTAGAATACGCATGGGATAGACGTAATTACCATCACTGTCTTTCTTCAACTTCTCACCGTCCGGATCCAGCGGTTCGCCCCTCTCGTCAAGCCTGACGGGTTCTCCCTCATGGCCGAGGGCCTCTCCTTTCTCATTCCTTGGCAAGGGATTTCCATCAATGTCAACAATAGTTGGCACTTTCGGTGTAGCCACGAGGGCCGGTGTCGTTCTCGATAGCCCGGCTACCTCCTCTGGTGAGATTCCAGAAACCACCTCAGAAACTTGAGCAACCGTCTTGTCGGTGACCATTTCAACTCCTTCTGGGGTCGACGCCTCTTCACTGATCCACTCTAGCGGAATATGGACCTTCTGATCCTTTCCTGGCTGGATATCATGTCCGTCGAGGGACACGGTGCCATCTTCAGAAACTCGCACAATGTGTCCGCTAGTGAGCTGTTTCCTCTCATTAGGGCTGAGTCGTAGCTGTTGCTTGTCAGGCAGGACTACTTCCACGAATGGCTTGACTATTGCCGGGCTACGTGTACTGGACAACGGTGTTGGGGATTTTTCGGGAGTGACTTCAAAAGGTACTGGTGACGACACGTCTGGTTGAACCTTAGGCACAATAGAGGCGAGAACGCTTGTGGAATTTTCGGGCCACACGTAATTTCCCTCTTCGTCTTTCCGCAGAACATTGCCGTCTGGGCCAAGTGGCTCATTTTGCTCGTTGAGTTTCACGGGTGTTTTTCCATCGGAGTGAATTGGGGATCCGTCGCTTCCGGTTGTTAGTGGTACGCCGTCTTCATATATGACTGGCACAATTACTCTTCGGGGCGATGTCGTAGTTTCTATGAGAGGAAGTCCGCGCGAGCTTGTTGGCTCTTCCGGTAGAATACGCATGGGGTAGACATAATTACCGTCACTGTCTTTCTTCAACGTTTCACCGCCCGGACCTAAAGGTTCCTCTCGCTCGTCAAGCGTTATCGGCTCGCCGTCGGGTCCAACGGGCTGTCCCCTTTCATT